CTGAGAAAATAAATCCATTTTTTTAATTAATGATTAATGTAGGCGATTCCAGCTCACTTCGCGTGGCAGAAACCTTAAGCAACTGGTCCTTGGTTATATAAGAAAGCAGGCAAAGCAAGCCATGTGGAGCAAGTCAGTAAGAAGTGTTTCTCCGTGCTTCTGCTTCCGCTCCAGCCTCCATGTTCCTACCTTGATTTCCTTCCCTGACTTTCTCAGGCAAGTTCTGAGAGTTGTAAATGAAATTAACCTTTTCTTCCCCAAGTTGCTTTTGATCATGGTGTTTATCACAGCAATAGTAACCTAAGTAAAACTTTAAGTAATTTGCAAAATAATAAAATTTAAAGACTGCATGAATATATATTATATATGAATAGTTAGATCCTACCTTATTTAACTATTCCCCGGTTGTTGAACAATTAGAAGATGGAAATAAATATTTCCATTCATACTTTTAAAATTTACATTTACTTATTTATTTATTTTGTGTGTTGGGGGTACATGGCACACATACATGCATAGGTCAGAGGACAATGTTACAGAGTGAATTCTCCCCCCCTACAATTTGAGTCCCAGGAATCAAATCCAGGTCTGTAGGTTTGTTGGCAAGGGCCTTCACCTGCAGCGCCATCTCTCCGGCCCTCCCCTTCACATTTTTTTTTAAGCTGTGATAAATTTCTTGGAATGAGTTTTAGAAAATCAGAGTGATAGTGTTAAAAGTTTCACATTAGAGTTGGCCAAATCGCTGTTTAAAAGATTACATAAATTACAACCTCCATCACAGGAGAGAAAGTACATGTTTCCACAGAGCCTGGCTGCCACGGAGTTTGGGATATGTTTCCGTCTATCAGTGACATCTCCTCGTGATTGTAACTGACAATTTTTGTTCAGTGAGGTCGGCCATTTTTTCACACATTGTAGGCCACTGAACTCCCCTCCTTGGGGGACTGTCTGCTTCTGCAGTTTGGCAGCTAAACTTTCTTCCAAACTTTTGTCCCTCTCCTGAGAATCACAAAATTTCGTACAATTTTCCTCCAATCTATTGAGTGTTTTCAGATGGTCGGTTGCTTTAACAGAGCAAGTTGACTCCAAAAATGTCTTTTCACTTTGCTTTTTGACAGAGAAAGACTATACATTCAGTTGAATGCTACCCAGACTCTTTCCTAAAACCATAACTGAAGTTATCTTAATTGTCTCTCTGCATATATTAAAACACACAGTAGCCTACAGTTTGCAGTCCATAAATCCAAAGCTCTTGGAAACAAGTTTTTTTGTGGGCCTCTCTAGGCCTAATTAGGACTATATGATCCCTTTTAGGGACTGCGAAGAGTGAGAGAAACAGTCGGGTCAAGCACAGGCCTTTTGACAGCAAACTTCAACTTAATGCGAAACCCAGGAAAGCCAGGACAAATGTGTCCTTAAGTGGCTGAGAGCTGTTCCTCTGTTTCCATGGGAGGTGATGATGAGATTATTTCTATGCTCGGGCACACTTTGCAGGGGCTGCTAGAAATTAGGAATCCCACAGGAGAAGTGGGGAAAACCAGTGGAATTTAAGTTCATAGAGTCATTTCACATCTGCAAGTTGGCCGTGGATAGTAAGTAGCTTTTGTTGAGCCCTCTCCGTTTTGCAAACATTTTCTCACCTGAAATCCCATCTGGCATTTACAGCGACCACGTGGGACTTCTATCCCCACGGCCCCGCTTTGCAGGAATAACTAAACAACCGCCTCAAGGTGTCTGGCTTAGAAGCTCCACGGTCAAGCTCCCAGCTTCTGCCTGTCAATGGATTGCAACTCCATTTTGTCACCCTGGCATTCGATTGATTGGATTCCCTTTACAAGCATCACGGCATCATGGAACATGACTAGAACAAAGAAGAACAGTGACAACCGAAGTACAGGATACAACCTGGGCCGTCTTCTTCCTCGATGGCCAGTCGAGAGGAAATGAGTGTTTCGGTGTGGTCTTTCCAATGAACAGGCACATGAGTGTACTCTTTGAATATGTGTTCATGAGTGTACTCTGTGCATATGGTGTTCAGAGGCAAGGGAAGATGGGCAACAATTTTTAACCCATATTGATACATCTGTGCAGATTTCCTAAACACGAATGTTCTTCCTGGAGGAGAGGAACTTGGCCCTCTCTTTCCCTCATCCCTGTCCTCTTTATCAAGAAGATAACAAATGGTTGGCTGGTCATTATTTTGCCCAAGTATACTGGGAGCTGCTATATGTTTTATACTCAGAAGGCCTCCATCAAAATGTCAGTCTCCACAAAATAACCAAATGACAAAGGTCACTGAGTGAGTCAATAGTGAACCCCACTACAGCTACCCAAGACAAGCATGGCCCTGGTAATGGGCATTGGGTGAGTAACTCCTTGAGGGTATGGGGTCACTGCGGGGGCCCCGGCTGCTTTGTTCTGAGCTCCACTTCACTGAGCGCAGAACAAGGCTGAGATAGTCTCATGACTGCTTCTTTGAAAGGAACTCGTGAACGCTCGGTACTGTGGATGAAGAAAGGAGGAGATTTGAGCCGCCCTCAGATAGAAATGAGATGACTGTGTGGGTGTGAGATTTCAATATTATTTCTCTCTCCTCCTCGTCTACCACCACCACCAACTCCACGACCACCACTTTCTGCCCAGAAAAAAATGGCACCATTGTCACCCTTTTAGGAAAACCTCCAAGGTGAGGTCAGATAGTATGGTGCCAGGGTCTCTGTGCCCTCCACTGCCAGCAAAGTCATGATCCTCAGGAGGCAAGAAGTCAATTCGGCTCCACACAGCTAAGTAGCCAGTGTTGGTTCAAACTTTGGGAGTCTGACCCCAAATGGTTTATTTTAGACATATTTTCACCCAATACAATTTGATGAAAACTTTTCTGATGATAATTGACTCTATCCCATGTACACAATAAAACACATATAAATCTCTTGAGAAACAAATTAAGCTAAATAAAAGTCAGAGATGACTACACTGAAACTCTCTGGAAAATACATGTGACACCCTCCGTAAAGACGGGTTCTACAGATTGACTTAGAAAAGGAAGCTTACGATGGCGATCTGGGGAAGACCTAGTTTCATCTCTGTTACACAGCACAAACCGCACTACGGCGGTACACATCTGCTCCCATCCTGCTGGGCAGAAAACGGGCACCACATTCCTTCCTTTGAAGGAACAACCCTGGGTGCTAACATTGCACATTTCCCTAGAGCTCGTCTGCGAGCCTAAGGACCTCTGTGACTCTGAGAGCATGAATCCCAGACTGTTCCGCATCCTGGCTCCTGGTCTCTTTCATGCCACCCACCGCCTCCCATTAACTGGGAAGGCTTGTATCTGCCCTCAGCAAAACACTTCCAAAATGGAGTCCCTAGAATTTAGAACTTTCACATTCCAGGATTTAATTTTTTTTAAAAAAAAGCATCTGAGAAAACCTTTTCTCTATCTAATCAAACAGCAAGATCGATGCACTAGCTCACATCTCCTCATCCTTTATTCTGGAACACAAAAGTTATCGGAACGTAAAGTACTAAGCAAAGTTACTAAGACATTCGTTAAGGGATGAGGAACAAGGCAGAGCAAAAGACTTCTCTAGCCCACAGGAAAGCATTTTGCCTTCAGAGGGGTGAGCAGCTCAGAGGCAGCCTCCTGGCAACCAGACGTTTCCAGATACACGAGGGTCGAATACTATTTAATCTCACCGTGGGCATTTTGGTTGGAAATGCTAGACAGTTACTCAGTTAACTTTATAACCACCGTCCCCTATTCTTTATAGCAATTAAGGATAGAATTCTTCATGAGCCAGTATATAAGTTTTCGAACTTAAAAAAACATCTTTCCAGGACTTCCAAAGAAATCACTGCATTTATAGTGACTTTTAAAACACACAAGATTGACTTTCTTTAAGTTGCTACCCATCCTCCGATACTGGAAGGGTTCCAGTGTCTTCTAACCTAGTGAAAATGAAGAGAGAACCGAAAAAAAGATTGTATTTATACACACACACACACTTTTACTATGAACATGTGAGACCAACTGCAATGTTCTTGTCGGCGCATTTGTCTTGTTGAGAAGGTGAAAGTTCAGTGGACCTCTCAATTGGGTGACCTCACAAATCTCCCCCACACCCCTCTATATGTCATTTTGATTTAAGTTTCTCTGGCATTCGCATCCAGTTGAAATCCTGTTAACAGACTGCCTCAGAAAATTTGTAGACCAAGAAAATTAGAAAATCGGTCTCTTTTGATGATCAATTAAGCAGCTTTTATGGCTAATCAGTATATCGCCAACTTTATGATTAAAATTTTCTGAAAGAATCTTAGTTACAGGGTTTTTAATTTTTAGAAAAAAAATATTGTTCTGGGTCTTTTTTGCCACAATCATATCACTTGAACTAAATGAATGTTTTGGAGAGATCACTGAAGGCCTCTTGATCAGTCCTAAAAGAGATTGCTTTCTTTCAACCAATGGAATCATTTCTCACTTCATCCCTATTTCTAATTTGTAGACTACAAAGTTTGCCTCCCTTTTTATTTACCCATGTTCCCCTCAGTTTCCCCTTTTGCAACCTGTAGCAAGCACTAATACATCCCTTTGCTGATCTGGGAGCAAATACGTATCTTTTTTTGTTTGTTTGTTTGTTTTGTTTTTGTTTTTGTTTTGTTTTTTGAGACAGGGTTTTCTCTGTAGCTTTGGAGCCTGTCCTTGAACTAGCTCTTGTAGAGCAGACTGGCCTCATACTCACCGAGATCCGCCTGCCTCTGCCTCCCAAATGCTGGGATTAAAGGCGTGCACCACCACTGCCCACTCAAACACATCTCTTAAAACTGACACCTGCTGACAGGAGAAAGGCAACACACCTCCACACAAGTTTAACCAGGGAAGCAGCTATAAGTAGCAGAATGACCCGGGAAACTCATAATTTAAGCCGTTTACTGATGAACATGCTTCAAAGATTTGCGAGTAAGTCAGTTATGCGAAACTCAGAATACAGTGTCCCAAACACATGGTTTTATTGTTGTCACAGATCCCCAGAGCAGACCCTATGACCCCTTTCCCATAAGCTATATTTTAGCACACTTAGCATCCCATTCTGCATGGGCCCCTCAGTCAAGAATCATAGGTCCCGCCAGTAATCTCCTAAGCCTGCTTTGCCATACGGAAACCCTCTGTTTTAGTGTGGCATAGCATTCAGTCCTTCAGAGACCCCAGTGTAGGCTCTGAGCCTTCTGGAATAGTAGTTAAAGTCCAGTCCACATTACTAACCACATTAGCAATTTCAGTTTAGCCTATTCTATGGTAGACACAGTAATACCTATCTCTTGAGGAATAAACAAAATGATAAAATAATGTACATTTAATACAAGCTTCGTCTCGGAAGAAACAGTGATCATGATTATGTGACAGAAATGGCCCCTGTGAGCCAAAGATAAAGGAAGACTGGGGGGAAACGTTCTTATATCAGGTTCATGTCCGTGATGTATTAATTGAGAAAATGCGTAGTGAATGTGTGAGTTTCCTAGAGCTGCCATGAAGAAGTACGGAGTGAGTTAACACAGAAATGCATCATCTCCTCTCTCTGGAGGTTACAAGTTCAGCATCAAGGCGTGCGCAGGGCTGGTTCCGTCAGAGGGCTGGGAGAGAGCATCTGTTCTGGGATGGTTACTAGGATCCTGATGACTTCAGACATCTCGTGAGCTGTAGCTGGCACTCTCCCTTGTCATCACGTCATCTTCCCTTTGTGTCTGCGTCTCTGTCCGGGTCCCCCTTTTTATTAGATGAGGACACAACCTCCTTATTATCTCCAAGACTCCTGAACAGCACCCCAACTGCTAGGGAACATAACACATGACAGTGCATCTGTGAAAACTACCACTGAGCATGTTCCAAATCCATGGAAGGAGGGAGGGGCACTCCTGTGTGGCCTCTGCCACCAGCATAGGGCAACCTGTCTGCAAATTACCCATGCCCTCAATAGTGATGCTCTAGGTACCTTTCTGTTGCGATAAGACACCAAGACTAAAGTCAACAGACGAAGAGCTTGTTAGGGCTATGGTTCTAGAGGGAGAAGAGCCCTTTGTAGTGGGGAGGTTCCAGCAGCAGGCATCCAGAGCAGCCAGTGAGAAAGCACATCTGCCACCACAAGAATGAAATGCACAGAAAGAACCAGAAGTCTGACGAGGCTGGATACCCTCATAGTCTACGTCCGGCGGCACCTCCTAAGTCTCCCCAGACCGTGGCACCGACTGGGACCAGGTGTTCAAACACCTGTGTGAGGTGTTTCTTATTTACACTGCCTTGGATAGTAAACTAAGGAACCAGATTTCTCACGAAGTACAGTCAAGGGACCCAAAGCAGATGTACAAATGCACTTGTTCTCAGACTTTGTCCGAGGTGACTAGGCTGCTTTCCTTCCCGAGCAATAGCCATGCTGTAAGAAACTTCTGAGTGGGTGCTGGAGAGATGGCTCAGCCCTTCAGAGCACTGGCTGCTCTTCCAGAGGACCCGGGTTCACTTCCCAGAACCCACATGGCAGCTCGCAACAGTCTGTAACTCCAGTTCCAGAGGAATCAACACTAACAGACAAAAAATAAAAATAAATAATCTTTAAAAATACCTCAAAAAGAAAAAAAAAAAGAAAAGAAACTAAGGGCTGGAGAGATGGGTCAGCCGTTAAGAGAGTAGGCTCACAACAGAAAAGGAACTACTTAAATACCTTCTTGTTACGGCCGTTCTAAATGGACCCTTATAAAATTCAACACCTAATAACAATTTCACAACACCTGAGGTTTCATCCATTTCTCAAAACTCCTCAAAGTGAAGTTAATTTTATGTCCAGCTAAATATTTGAAACGAGCCCACATGGCTCAACACTTTGGAGGATGAGGTCACCCTGACATCTAATAAACGGTTGGGAATCAGCACTAGAAAACCAACTCTCCCTGGTAACCCATTCACCACCCCATCACCCGGAAGTAATTCCCCACTGGGAGCCTGTGTCTCAACAAAGTTCATTCTGTGTATCCCCCAGGCAGAGGGTAATCTGGGGTCACTCTTCCCCTCTTCCAGTAGGAACGCACCCCCTCAGGTTCTAGCAGGTGTGGGGGGGTCCTCTAAAATAAAGTGGCTCAGGTCCCCTAGGGTAATGCTTGTGATCTCAAAACAAGCATCACCGTCTGGCTTCAAGCAATGTATTAAAACATTCAGGTTTCTAAGAAGCCAGTGGGTGGAGACAATAAGAGCAATTGTCTACTAGCAATGCTAGGATACCTGGGCCACTTCTGCCCTCTGGTCCAGTTAGCCACCTTTCACCCCTCGCATTCACCTAACATAGCTTTTCTCAGAGACTCCCAAATAACCACTCTCCATGAGTAAGCAGTGTCCCAGCTATTTCTTCCACAATTTTCTATCTAAGCACTTGCTTGGCTGGCCTGCTCCATACGGTGTAAGCTTCAGAAGGGTAAGAACACCGCAGTATTCTTTTCTGCCTGGTCTAGATACCATGCCTACCACTGAGTAGACGCTCCCTAAGCCTGCACTTCCCGAACTGTTTACATTTTCAACGGCAGGCAGGTGGACCTGCACCCTTGGAGCCCTGTTGACTGGCGGTCAAGGTGTATCCCAGATTGTACTGTATCCTGCATTGGGTGATAAAATACTGACCCCCAAAATATATTACCTTCCTGAACAGTTACCCGGCCTAAATAAACAGAAGGAGCCCTGGGGACTTATCGCGAGAGGCTGATTTAGGAGCATCATTGGCACTTGTGTAACGTTTTGGAGACTGATGTCCTGAGCACAGATGCCGTCTTTAAGAACTTAACACCAGGCCCAACCTTCTGGGGCCGACCGTGTGGGAACGGAGCCCTCTTTATGTCGCGGGTGATGTATGAACTGATGGCTCACGAAAGGTGAAGCTCAGACTAAGTTATCAGACTTCTGCCTCCTGAGTTATGGCAGGGAGAGCAGACGTGACCGATTACAGCCACTGACAAGAGCTGAGCCGTCCGCGTGCTTGTTTACGTTACTAGAAAGAAGTGACGGCGCAGCCCAATTTAGGGCCTGCAACCCAGCAACACTAAGCAAATCTTCTCTCCCATCCGCGGCGGAGCTCACCTAGGCACCGCTGGATTTATAGGAAGCAAACGCCCAAGAGCGTCAACCCGTCTATACTGCTTGCTTGGGGCCAAATTACTTTAAAAAGCCACCACTTAGAAGCCTCTAGGAGTTGAAAAAGAGGAAATCTCTAAACGGTGCATCTAGATTTCTGGTATGTGCAGCTCATGCACGTCGGGCAAGGTTGTTTGCCCGAGTGAGGGAAGGTCACAGGGTCACACAGAGCCACCTAAGTAACAACACATCCCAGAGCGGGGAGGCTCAGTAATTCGGGGGGGGGGGGGTTCTACACAGCTGTACACTTTTAATGACAACATCCATCACCAAGCCGAGGCTTTCAAGCCCAGAGGTCTTCTGGCTAAGACAAGGTTACCTGCTCTGTGGGCTGGTCCAGAGATGGGGGTGCAGCGAGCTCAAGACGCAGGGCTTCCTCCCTCAAGAGCAAATGCAAACACTTGAAGGAGGAAAACGACCGGAGCCATCTAGATCTTTTTTTTACTGCTACAACCCCTGCTAAGGAAAACGGGAAGCATTCCAGTGAAATCTCCCTCCTCTCCTGTGCTGAAATGTTGTTTTTAGATCCCAGGTGGAGAAGTGTTCCTGCATCTATCTTCCTTCAGTATAATGCTTTTTAATAAGAGAGGGGAAGGAAGGGCCAGGAGGCCTCAGAATGGGGAGATCTTCTAACTGACGGATTGGAAAACGGCTTCAGGGGCTCAGACACCAAATTTTAAGCCCCCCCTCCCCGCCATGGACCCACAGCAGTTTCTATATTCTTAGAACAAAAAAAAATGTTCTGTTGATAGATAAAAATGAAGATGTGGTCAAGAAGTGATTCCATGGAGACACGGGAATGATGGGAGAGAAAGGGTGTGATCGGCCCAGGGACAGAACTCTATCCCAAAAGCAGGTCCCTAAGGCACAACACAAAGAGGCCCTGACGTGTAGGACTGACTTTGACTATGGACAAACTGGGGGAGTCCTCCGTGGCTGGGCAACTCGGGAGATCTTCAGTTGTGCGTCTCTTCCTTCGTTCTGCAACTGTGAGTCCACAGGTTTCTGACCACACAGCCTGGCAGTGAAAGATAATAAAAGATGCATATTAATCTGTTAGTTGCCTTTCTCACCACTGATAAAATATCCCATAGAAACAACTTTAGGGCCTTCTCCCCTTCAGGGTTTCAAGAGATAACAGCCCACCAACCATGTCAGAGAAAGTACCGCAGCTGGGACAGCTTGGGGCAGCTCATTCAAGTCTTTATAACAGAAACTCAGAAAGTGAATGACCCCTATGCAGCAAACATTTACTTCTTATTATCTTAGAAGCTAAAAGGTCCAAAAACAAACATGTCAGCTGAGTCACTGTCTGACAAGGGCTCACTTCTTGCTGCATAATCAACATGGAGGAAAGGACGAACAGGTCATCTTCCTCCTTTCATAATCATGAACTAATCAGCTCCCAAGACCCACTTCCAGACACCTTCACCTCAGGTGGTTTGAGACTCCCATAAGTGAATGTGGTAACATGAGCAATTAGTGCATCACAAGTAAAGAAAGGTAAAGAAAGCAAGAGGGGAGGATTCAGGGAAAAGGGTAGGGTAGAGGAGGGAAGGGGAGGGTTCAGGGGGGAAGAAGAAGGTGGAGGAGAGAAGGAGAGGTTGCAGGGGAAGCAGAGGGTGGAAAAGGGAAGGGGAGGGTGGAGGAGGGAAAAGGAAGATGGAGGAGGAAAGGGGAGGATGCAGGGGGAAGAGGAAGGTAGAGGAGGGAAGGGGAGGGTGGAGGAGGAGAGAGGAGGATGCAGGGGGGAAATGGAGGGTGCAGGAGGGAAGGGGATGGTTCAGGGGGAAGGGGAGAGTGCAAGAGGAAAGGGGAGGGTTCTGGTGAGAAGGGGAGTGTAGAGGAGGGAAGAGGAAGGTAGAGGAGGGAAGAAGAGGATGGAGGAGGGAAGGGGAGGGTAGAAGAGAGAGGAAAGGGAAGGGTGCAGACTTGCAAGCCGTGAGTGTCTAGATTGAGGGAGCCATCCAATGTTCAGAATCCTAACGTCAGGTGCAGTCCTGAGACAGTGGAGCCAGGAAGCAGGCCCTGAATGAGAGAGCACACTGGCCTCTGTTATCAGCAGCCAGACTGAGCACAGACAGCAGGGGGGTGCAAATGAGTTCAGACTGTCCCCTGTGGTTCACCAAGGTTGTCACACAGCCAGCCAACAAGATTGCACCAGGCGGTTTGCCTGTCCACTCCCTCCTCCCAGTTGGGTTTTGGCTCTCAATTCCGAAACATCGTCAGTGACAGGCCGGGTGCTCTGGAGACAGCCACTTAAAACTCCCTCACTCATCCCCTTTAAAGAGAATGGTTGTGAAAAATAGGGTAGCATGGGTCCCCACAGGCATTTCATCAGCTCCTCCCTCTCAGCAAGTTCCCTTCGGTTCCATTACTTTTCTTTTATTGCTTTTCTTTTCCTTCTTTTTTTTTTTGACTTATGATATCTTGCAAATGGGAAGCCTCACTTTGCTATCAGGAAATCCAAAAATTGAAAGGTAAGCTTTCATTTTCTTAGGAAGACAGAATGATGAAAATGTCCAGACACGGTATCAAATCAACACTTAATTCCAGGTCTCTACAGACCCACTTTGGCGAACTATCTGCTTCATTCATTTACCTAGTCGTTTGCTTGTTCAGCAGGTATTTATTGAGCCTCCCCTCGCTGCCAGGCATAGCTGAGCTCTGAATGCACAATGATGACACAGCGTCTGCTCTTGTTCTAACCGGTGATATAGACGAACAAAAAGACAATGTCATAAATATTCTGGGAGGATAAGGTCCGGTTTGGATCCGTTTTGAGTTGTTGAAGTTACGGCAGCACGTAGGAGAGATTTCTGTTTCTATAGGGATGAGTTTCCCAGCTGATTCCCTGTGCCCACATCTTTGTTGTGGTGACCAGTCGGATTTTGGCATGCTGTGACATGGGTCTAAGGAAAACAAGATAAAAGAAAGGTATTGTTTGGGCTCACAGTTTTAGAGGGTTCAGTCCATGGACACATCACAGTGGAAGAAACATGTGCTATGTCCTTTTCTTCTTGGCAAATGGGAGGCAGAGAGAAAAGAGGATTGAAGGCCCAGGACAGCATTCAGAAGCACCCCCAGTGACCTACTTTGTCTGAGTAGGCATCACCTCCCAAAGTTCCCACGGTCTCCCAAAGCAGCACCACCAGCTTGGAAAGCATTCAGAATGTGAGCATTGGAGGACATTTTATATTCAGACACAAACAAGGCTCCAAAATGGCGACCACGGCCTCAGGATTAGTCATGTGACCTGCCAGTTCTGAATCTAGGGCTGAAGATGCTCCAAGTATTTCCACTTTCCAGCTTGCACCTTCGCCGGAGTCCTGAGATGAGCATGCCCTAGATAGCCCTAGATAGACGAGGAGGATGGGAGACACGTGCAGAGGAGTCACTGTACTAAGCCCAAAGGACACTGAGCCACTGCATCCTGTGGTCCAGCCGCCAGCTTCTCAGTCCGACACGAACGATAACATGTAATCACTGTTCTGAGTCATGAGTCTTGGTTTGTTTGTTTGTTTGTTTGTTGTTGTTGTTGTTGTTTTTATTTTTTGAGGCAAGGTTTCTCTGTATCTTTGGAGCCTGTCCTGGAGCCAGCTCTTGTAGACCAGGCTGGCCTCGAACTCACAGAAATCCACCTGCCTCTGCCTCCCAAGTGGGATTAAAGGCGTGTGCCACCACCGCCCAGCTAAAGTTTTCCTTTTTGGTTTTTTTTTTTAATTATGTGTACAGTATTCTGTCTGCATGTATGCCTGCAGACTAGAAGGGAACACCAGATCTCATTACAGATGGTTGTGAGTCACCACGTGGTTACTGGGAATTGAATTCAGGACCTCTGGAAAAGCAGTCAGTGCTCTTAACCTTTGAGCCATCTCTCCAGCCCAGCCACAAGTCTTTGAACAGTTCATTAGGCCCTGGTATTGTTCCTTTGCAGGAACTGATGTGACAATCAAATAATAAAAATGTGCGGCTGAGCATCCATAACCTAAAATCAGAAGAGTGGGAGTCTAGGAGACCTAAGCGTTGTGAGCAGTCACGTGACCGTCTTCTAAAACAGCCATGCTTCCATTTCGGTTCTTACTGGAGCATTGTCTCCACTTCTTCCCACCTTTGATGTCTTCAACGGTGTCCCTTGACGTGGAGTTTGACCACGTGGCTTAACACGGCCAACAGTGGATATGTTAAGCAGTGGATATCATTTGGGGCATCTCAAATAGAAAATTTCCTTCTTCTGGTATCCAAGTGGTGTGTGACTGTCATCTTATCCTCCTGGAACTTTAAACCAGGAACCAAGAGGAAGTGGATGCAGGGAGGCATTGTGGGCGCTGTTGGGTTGTCAGCCTGGACCGCAGTGTGGATGACGATGCCATTCATTCCCATTCTCTTGGTGCTTTTGCTTGACACTGCAGACTTAGGCTAACCCATGGCTCCGGTGCTCTACTCTGAGCATTAATAAGAAGTGCTTTTTGCTGGCTTGTTCCTCTTAAAACCCACAGTGCAATGATTCACTTCACTTGAGAGTCGGTAACTCTGTGGGCCGATTTAAAAGGTTCCCCCAAAACATCTGTCCTCGATTAAACAACAGATACCACTTACAGACCGTGTCTGTTTTCCAGGGTTTCAGAGCAATAATTAATCAGGCACATGAAAAAGCACAGGCCTCATCCTTTTATCCAATTAGAGAAATCTCTGGACGGCCAGGGCACCAAACTGTTTGGCTTTGTGGACACGCATTGTGGTGAGTGACTGATTTTACATCTTAGAAAATATCAATATTTACCTTAAACTTCCAGTGAAATTAAAGAAAAACAAAACGGACGAGTTAACTGTCACTGAATATATGGCGGCTGCTGTTGAGCTGCTACCGCAGGGTACCGGGAATGAGAAATAGCCGCGCGAGATGTGCTTCCCGCCAGCTGGAGACGCATTTCAGGTTTCCTCGGTGGCTTTTGATTTTTTCTCTCCCATCCATCATCCTCATGTAGTAGGTTTGTTTCCACCTCTACACATTTGCCCATAAATCCTGGGCTGCCCTTACTCTTCTCCATCCCACTATGGCCTTCGCTGCCTTCATAGCGTGTCACGTGCCGCTTGCAGGAAAACCCTGCCAGGCTTACGCTACCTGAGTTCTCATAGTCTCAACACCAGGACAGGTCTGTTCTCACACTTCCGGGAAGCCACCAGGATCTTCACAGAGGTATGACGACGTCACAGTGGACCCCAGGGCTCTGCAGGCTAAGTGCTCCGTGAGACTCTGAGGAATCACAGACACTCCAGCAAGGAGGAGTTGGCGCCACACTGCCTAAGCCCGAAGTTTGCCCAATAAGGAGACAGAGACACTCTGGATTCGATGGAGGCTTGCCCACAGATTTCTATCTCAAGTTCATTACCACAGACTCTCAGAGGAGAAGTTGCCCAGGCCTGTGCTGGCTGCGCCTCATCTGCCTCCTTGAGAAATTTAGGAGCAAACCCAGAAGAAGCTTCTTGGATCAGATGAAAGGGGCACAAGACCTGTGCGTCACAAATAAGAGTCACACTAGATGTGAGCTGCACGGAACAAAACTAAAAGGGAACACTAACCTGAAGGGGAGCTCCCCCCACAACCCACTACCGTTCTGAAGAGCAACTTTGTAAAGACAGCACAACCGGGAAGTGCAGAAAAGTCCAAATAACCCGTAATCACGTCACCCATAGGCTTGTTAACACCTTCCTGCATTTACTACTATATAAAAGTCCACACAAGACTACATAATTTTACCCTCAGACACAGAGAGAAAATCAACATTTTAAATGTGAAAAAGATCCAAACATTTAAAAATTATAGCGCGGTACGTAAAAAGTTGTCAAGTAGAGTCACAGAGTCTGTCAGTGCTGGAACTGAGGGTGGGTTGGTGTTTTGGAAGAGGTTGGCTGAGGTGTGGTCATCTCCGTGGCAATCTTGAACGGCCCTCTCCGCATCAGGGTCACCCTTGTGCCATTCCCATTTATAGCCAGCGATTGCCCTACATGTTCCCAGGACTCATGGGATCACCCGGAGAGCGGCCAGTGAGGCCAGTGGACGGACAGCTTTTGCAGTGGCTCGGTGCCAGCAGTCCATTACCACCCCCGGGTCCCCACCGCTCCCCGGTCCCCACTGGAGAGAAGGCAAGCCTCTCTAGTACTGTATGGACTGGCGATGCAGGCTGGGTCAGATGCTAGAAGACCTGGCAGGTTGTAGCAGGGGGTTGGGATATCCTCTTGGGTCCTAAGACTCCTACTCTTGTACCTAGAGTCTTGCAAAATCTTTCACACACGTTTTTGATTCTTCAGCTGTGGTGGGAGATTCTTTCTCTCTGCACCTCCACTTCCCCTAGAGCTGAGGGTAGGGAGCGCAGGGCGCTCTCTCTGACTAGCCTTCTGAGGGACTCTCATGCTTCTGTCTGAAAACTAGAAAACACTCTCATACCATGACCCCGAAGCCCTGCATCCTTGGGTGGGTTTCTCCCTAATTAGTCTCTCTTTACTGAGAACACCAACGAGAACCTTGTGGCCTGACTTGGGAGGTAGTGTCGACCACAGACCATGCCTTAGTCTTTCTCGCTTTCCTTCCCTCGTCACCAGCATCCTACTAGAGAACTCCACTTTCCCTGAACCCCCATCCTGAAACAAAGACCCTCTACCAACTCATGCAAATAGATTCAGGGTAGGAGTCGAGAATGCCATCTACACATTAGAATTATCTAGAATGGTAATGAAAGCCCAGCCAGAACAGCTTATGTATTATCTCATTTAATCCACCTGGATCATGCTAAGTACCTTTTATTATTATCTTTACTTTAGAGAGTTCAGGAAACAAAAGGCCAGAGAGATCACGGGATCTACTCACTGTTGCGAGGTGTTAGGCATTGAGAAATATCAAACTCAGGAATGTTTTATCGCAAAGTCTATATTCATTACCACAAGTCTGTTACCTCATAGTTAATAAGATCCAACTTCCCAAAGGTTAGAATAAGAACTACTGAAAGCAATCAAATATTAAGATGCAATCAGATATTATCAAAGCATAGTTATACA